CCCCAAAACCCCAAAACCCCAAAACCCCTTTATCTTAAATCGAGTTAAAATTGTAAAGTTATAATAAGCACAATCAAAGTCAAAATGGAAATTTTAAAACACTCAAGAAAGCAGATTCTGAGATTAGTTTAGTAGAATCAAAGGTAGATAGGAATCATAAATTTTTTTACAAAGCTGTTCAAAACTTAATCATATATTCCTCCATTTGATAAAGTAGATCATGCACAAATTAAAAGAGAGACAGGTATTGACCCTAATTTAGTCTACTTAAATAATCTCTATTGGATGCCTAGATTTTATCAAGCTCCAACACTATCTGCAGAGTTTGAATAAGAAATGAAAAAATTCAAGAACTTGTAGGTATGGCAAGACAAAGACATCCTATCTATGACTTAACTAATCTTAATTGAAGCCACAAGAGATACTACTTATGATATTTCATTTGGCTTCAAAGCTAACCCAAGCTAGCTTTCATCTTTTCATGGGAGAATAGATTGCCTACTTTATCAGAGATATGGAGGTGAAGATCGAGGAATTAATGATATCAAGGGTATGCAAAATGATGATTAAGGCATTGGCTTTCCTTTGGTCCCGATATTCTTTCCCATTTAAGAGACTAATTTTTATGCTCCATTTTAGCATGAGAAGTTTTCCATTAGTTAGGCGATTAGTTGTGGACTTTGGAGTCTTGAACATATGAATGATATAGATCCTAGTATAGAGTATGTTAGAGTCTTGCAAACTGACGGTCATAGATGGAAGTTATATGAAATACATCGTACTCACGTCAAGAAGACTAAATTTTTTGAACCGAGAGCAGATTTAAGGTAAAACAGCTACAAAAATAAGGTTGTGAGAAATACTTAGCAAGGAAGATTCTTTGATGATTACGAGCATATGCTAAGTGTAATAGGACTTATAAGATATGCTATGGGTATTCCTGAAAATATTGTCATGGCTAATGATACTTATGAGGTAGAGGAATTACCATAATAAAAAGATTACCAAAGAACTATATAAAAAGGATTATTATAATTGGAAAAAACATAGGACGGATTCCTGATAGATAAGAGAGTATTTAAAGAATTACCAGTTACTAGTTAAAAAGATGATTTGCAAAAGTTAAATAGTGATTAATAAAATTAGAAATTGTTGAATGAGTCTAATGAAATGAAAGACATTGCCAAAAAAGGAATTTGATATCTTAATTAATTTAGCTGCTTTATTAATCGATTTTACTTAATTATTTGATGCGGGGTTTTGGGGTTTTGGGGTTTTGGGG